CGTCTTTTTCCTCTGAAGGAGCGGGTGCTGTTACGCAAAAACCGCGATAGAGTGAAGCTGCGGAAGTCGAAGTGCAAAGTGGCGAGAGTTCACTGTACTGAGAGAAGATACTGTCTCTCCCAGCTGGTCCAGCCACACCCACACCTCCTGAAGCCCCACCCACTGGTAGAGAGCCACCATCTCACCAACTCTAGACAGTGGCTCACGGCAGAAAGCCTGATCCTGCTGGGCCACACGCAGCAGCAGGCTGAGAACTGTGCCCAGTTTCCCAACCAACTGCTATCCTATTTGCCAGAGGCAGGTGCGGGTGTCTGAGAACACACCCACACGCAATCACCCATCCAACGCAAATACAAACACACCACAATGGGCCAGCGGCAGCAGACTGCTCTGCTTCACAAGAAGAAACAAGAGAGAGTGGCTCAAACAGGTGATCCAAATGCAGCCAGGAAACCTTCCTGAGGAAGAAAGAGCACAGGTGTGCTACCCGAGCAGGAATGTCAATGGAGGAGAATCTGCAGGGACAGTCGTTGGGTCCATGTCTTCTTGGGGGCATGTCAGGGGAAGTTTGGGGAGCGAGTAACAAGGAGGACCATAAATAAGACAATGTTCTAAACTTGATTGTGGTGATGATAGTACAACTCTTCTTTGACGTGATTGAACTACTGAATTGTATGATACGTGGGTTATGCCCCAATAAAATGGTGTGTTTGTTTTTAAAATAATGCCAGTGAGTGATATTTAGGCACCGTCAGCCAATTGACCGAAAGTGAGATTTGGTGGAAGCACAAACAAAATGCAGGGAAAAATGCAGGCACAGGCTTAGAAGAATCCAGGAAAAACCCTACAAGGATACACAGACAAACGAAAAAGACCCCAGACAGAGCCAGCCAGATCTGCACTAAGGTTTCAGAAAGAAGCGTTGCATAGGAGGACAAAGGAGTTGAGCTGAACCGATGGAAGACAGAAGCAGCGAGCTTGAAGACAGAGCTGCCCACCCTCGTGCGCTGGAGGGGCGACAAGTGAAGACGAACGTGGCTGGGGGTGAGATGAAGAAAGCCCCAAATCCACGGAACTGCCATGGGTTTTCCACGCTGGAAGTTCAAGAAGGAGCAAAAGAAGGTTGAGAGGGAAACTGGGCACCCTGGACACGGTGGCAGGGGAGGAGGGGACACTCTATTGCAGTGATGGCATAAGATCCATTGTGATGAGGTCACACGGACCTATGTGGGGACTCCTATCGATTCACGATGAGTCCGTTGGGCAGTAGATGCCAGCCCTCTGCATGTTGTGACTCCACCCTACTGCTGTCTTCCAAGAAGGCGACTTCCAGAAGCTCCTCTGATGGCCATCACTGTAGCGGAGACATTGCATTTCGCTCTGATGTTTGGCATCTTCATTTTAGGACCGGAAGATGGAACTCCCCGCTCAATGTGACATGGGGGACAATATTGGCTGCTTGACGTCCCAGCGAGGAGGCTCACTGCATTTGCTGAGCATAAAGCCAATGGCATGTGGTCCAAGACTGCCTTTTCCTGTGGCAATGTGCATCTAACCATCAGCAAAGTGAAGCCAAGGTGTCAGCGATTTGGCACATGACCACGTGGCTCCACCTCCAGGATGTGTGGCTTCTCAGAACCCATGGGCTACGTTGGTTGCCACGTCCGTCTGACGGAAGATAGTTCAAAATGAAGGCATCAACCGTCTTTGGATCCCAATGGGCTAGAGGGCAATGCTAGACTCACCATCACCATCAGCATCCGGCAGAAGAACTCGCTTTGCAAACACGGAAGCGCTGTTCACCTGGGAGTCGCTGTTCCCAGCTTTTTGATACACCAACCTGCTGATTGGACCCTGCTGGACTGACCCTGGATCTGTGGCTTCTCCCATCGGGAATCTGCTGAGGCTCCAGGGGAACTCGATGGGAAGCCACGAGGCAATGGACGCGGGGCTGTGTTCCAGCTCTGATGTCCATCTCTGGCTCTATCATGAAGTTCCTGGACCCCAGGGCCTGCCAGGTAGGCTAGGTGGGCTCATGTAGTAGCAGTCTCTGAGCACCCAAAGCTGTGGCCTTGCCTTTCTCCTCAAGGAAGCCAGCCTTTTCCCAAGCAGAGCAAGCAAATAGCGTACCATCGCTGTGACGCCCAGAGGAGTCACCTTCCTAGGCAGCAAGGGTAACATCCAGGGGTCTCTGGTGATGCAGCTGGTTAAGTATTGACCAGATAGGCCAGTGATTCGAACTCCAGTCACTTGGAGGGAGGAAATTAGATATTCTTTTTCTGCAAAAGTGTACAGCCTCTGAAACCTGATGGAGCCGCTCTGCCCAGTCTTACAGGGTCCGCAGGGGGAGCCAGGCCCATCTGAGGGCAGTGGGCTTGGTTAATGGCCGTCAAGTTCACTGTGAGAAACACTCCTTTTCCTTCCAGGCCACTCTGGAGAAAACACACCTTCCCGAAGAGCAGACTCTTTCTGAGACAAGCACACCTGAAAGGAAGCACAGGTGTCTTCACAGGTAGGAGACGGAGTCGAGACAGGACTTCCCTCACGTGACACTGCTGAAATACTCCAAGAGCTGTCCTTATTCCCATGAATCCTTCACTGCACAACCTCAATGGGAGTTCCAGGGAGCCTGGGAGATTGTGGCCAGGGACACACACACCAACTCACTGTTTACATTACTCTTACATCAGTGTTATGAACATTAACATCGCCCTGATTTCTAAACAACAACAAAAATTTTAAAGTTATAGTCAGGTAACCTGAGTGCTACCTCCCAATTCAATTACTTAGCAAGAAAAGGGAAAGAAAAAAAGGTGAGTTCAAATTTAGCCAACCCAAAATACAATGAAATGTGAAGTGAGAAATGCTGGTGCTTATGCTCCAGTCTGCTCCTGGGTTTGGGAAAGGCTGTGTGAAGGTGGGTGAGGCCACCTGTTCAGGTGGGAGGTCTCAGGCTGGAGCAAGGGAAACTTTCACAGAGCTCTCCAGGGTCCCGGAGCCCCACGGTTTCAACTGCTGTCCCAGTGTCCTAGGGAAGGTAAGATTCTGAAGAACTAAGCCAGGCTGTTAAGCAGAGGCAGTGAGAATCACAAAGGACCCACTGGGGCCTCAGGCCAAGTCCTCCACTCCCATGTTGACGGACTCTGCCCCCCCACCCAAAAAAAAACCCAAGATCCCTGGTGCAGAGAGAGACTGAGCAGGATGCAAGCCGGGCCTCCTTTCCCTGGGAAGAAGGGGAGGGGCTTCCTTGACTCAGGGGGGCTGGAAATGAGCTGTGAGCCCCTCTTCGGCAACACATGGAGTTGGTCAGATCTCTGCTCTGTGTGCCCCAGACCTTGGAAGGCCGTTGGGAAGGAGCAGTCCTCTCCCAGGAGCAAAATCCGCAGGAGAGGGAGCAGGGTGCAGACAGAGCTGGGTGTGAGGTGCAATTGAGTGCAGGCTGGAAGGGGGTGCAGGGTGAGGATGCGGATGGAGCTGCGGCAGGATGGCACAGAAGCCGGCTGGTGCGGGGTGAAGATTGGAGCTGGCTGCGTTGTCAGTTAGCTCTTTATTTAGAATTCGCACGGAGGGAGGGGTCAGGCCCAGCACAGCTTCCCAGCCATTGGGGCACAGCCCCTGGAGGGCTTAGCTGGGTCGCTAGAAGCGCAAAGCAGGCCAGTGCCCGGGTCCTAGGCAGAGCCCAAATCACCGCACCCCCCTCCTGGACCCTCCTAGCATCCCTGGCCAGGCTGCCTCTAGCCTGGTTCCACTTCCATAAAAGACTGGGCTGCCCTTGATCACGCGGCTCCCTGACAGCGGCGCGCAGGCTGGCCTAATTGAGCCCTGTCACCTGGGAATAGGTTCAAAGGCCTCTGAGCTGTAAACCACAAACCACCTCCAGGCCCGAGCCAACAAAGAGGGTGTGCTACCCGAGCAGGAATGTCAATGGAGGAGAATCTGCAGGGACAGTCGTTGGGTCCATGTCTTTTTGGGGTCTTTCTGAGTCCTGGACAGGGACCCTCGGCACGTCCATGGTTGCGGTGACGGGTGCTTCTCCTCTCTGCTTATGTTTCTCCCGGGGGTGGGATC